ACCATTTTAGGTTACATATCTCTTCTCCCGAGCTGCTTTCAGGATTTTCTCTTTGTCTATGAGACTCGTAAGTTTTACTATTAGATGTCGGGGAGTTGACCTATTTTTATTGATTTTGAGAGGGGTTCTCTGTGCTTCCTGGATTTTCATGCCTGTTTCTTTCCCCAAATTAGGGAAGTTCTCTGCTATAATTTGCTCCATTATACCTTCTGGCCCTCTCTCTCTTTCTTCTTCTTCTGGGATCCCAATTATTCTAATGTTGTTTCGTCTTATGGTATCGCTTATCTCTCGAATTCTGCCCTCGTGATCCAGTAGTTGTTTACCTCTCTTTTTCTCAGCTTCTTTATTTTCCATCATTTCATCTTCTATATTACTGATTCTCTCTTCTGCCTCATTTATTCTAGCAGTTAGCGCCCCCATTTTTGATTGCACCTCATTAATAGCCTTTTTAATTTCTACTTGGTTGGATTTTAGCTCTTTTACTTCTCCAGAAAGCGTTTCTCTAATAACTTCCATATTTTTTTCAAGCCCAGGTAGTATCTTTAAAGTGATGATTCTGAACTCTAGATCTGACATCGTACTAATGTCCGTATTGAGTAGGTCCCTGGCAGTCGGTACTACCTCTTGTTCTTTTTGTTGCAGTGATTTTTTCCGTCTTGTCGTTTTGTGCAGAGGAGAATAGATTAATGAGAGAACAAAATGCTAGCAGAATAACCACGTCCCCAGAAAATATACTCTAAACAAATCAGAAAAGACCTAAAGCAGTGGGATAAGAAAGGGAAAGAGAGAAAAAAGAAAAAGAAAAAGAAAAGATAAAGATAAAAACAAAAACAAACAAAACGAAACAACAACAACAAAAGGAAAACCAGAATATGATCAAATATGATCTATATGGTATATAGATCAGTGCCACACACCAGATTTGGTGTGTATTTTGGTCTTTTAGAAGAAAGTGCCTCCCAAAATTTTAAAGAAAGAAAAACTTATATATGTACAAAAGTAAGGGTTGATATGATGAAGGGATGGAATATGACTGTAAAGATGGAAATTATAAAAAATGTTATAAAAGGAATTGATAAGAAGTTGTTTGAAAAAAGAAAGAAGAGGATTTAAAAAAAGAAAAAAGAAAAAGAGAAAAAAAAGGGAGAGGATGTGATCAGGCAGGGGAATAGAAAGCACCATATACTAGAGATTTAGGGTATATTTTAATCTGTTAGAAGAAACTATCTCAAAATTTTAAAGAGAGAACAACTTATATATATATAAGCCAAAAATATGGGTAACTACTATGAAAGGATAGAATATGACTCTAAAAATGAAAAATAATTTTTTATAAAAGGGATTGATAAGATGTTGGTTGAAAAAGGGAAAAAGAAAAATTCAAAAAGAAATAAAAAGACAAAAGGACAGTTAAAAAAATTGACTTTAAAAGACTAAAGAATCATGGTAAAAAAGCCGTGAATTCTATGTGCAGTAGTCCCCTGGTTAGGGCTTCTGCGAGTGGGTCGAGGTTCCCCGAGACTGACGCATCCTATGCCGATTACCGCCTGCGCGCCCCGGCCGGGCAGTGCCCTCAGCCTGGGTGCCTGTTCAAGTTGGCAGGTGCCCCGGATTCCTCTGCCCTCTGCTGTGCCCCACGCCTCTGGGGCCTGGGTAGAGCCTCTGTGACACCTGCCATCTGAGCAGTTGCTGGGGGGCGGGCCTCAGCACCCGTAGAGGTGGGGGCCCATCTCGGCTGAGCGGGCAGGCTCCTGTTCTCTCAGGCCGTGGGGCTGCTGCGAAGAGCACCACAGGCCGATGGTGCATGAGTAGCAGAAAGTTAGGTCTCCTCGTTCTGGAGGCCAGAAGTCAGGTTAGGCGGCCAACACGGTTGGGTCCTGGCTCTCTTCGGGGCGCAGACAGCTGCCTTCTCACAGTATCCCAACATGGGGGAGACTAGAGAGGGGAAACAGACTGTCTCGTGACTCCTCAGGAGCACCGATCCCATCAGGGGACCCCACCCTCCTGACTTCCTCTAAACCTGAGGCCCTTCTTCCTAACACCGTCCCGTCTGGGGAAGGACTTGCGCATACGGACTTTGGGGCCTCACAGCATTCAGCCCATGGCCAGGTATGCAGTTGGGCTGCATCCTGCCAGGGTGGGGAGCCTTGGGGTGGCCTCCTCCTGTAAAAGCCAGGTGAAGGATGCCCCAAGCGGCTCATGCTGGGGAAGGGGCCGATTACTGTGCTTGCCTTCTGCCTCCACCCGCTTGCGCATCAACCATCTTTGCTTTGCTTTCTGAGCAGGCTTTTTGTGAGCAGTTCATTTCATGATAGCAGCTAGTGTTTGTCCATCGCTTACTGTGGGGCAGAGACTGTCTCGGGCCCTCGTCATGAACAGATCCCTCTGACTTTGCAGCCAGTCTAGGAGAGAGCTTACGGGGGAGGTATAGGGAGGTCACGTGGCTCGCCCAGCATGCTGAGCGGTGGGGTAGGGTTCAAGTCCAGGGCGTCTGAGGCCAGGGCCTGCTGCTAGCTGCTGACCTCCCCACAGAGAGCAGGGCCTCTTCGCTGGTGATGCCGCCCCCAGGGGACATGAGGTCCTGTGTTAGGACCTTTCCTGTTAACATCTGGGGCAGGGAGTGTGTGCTCCTGGCATGAAGTGGGCAGAGACCAGGGTGCCTGGCCCCCAGGGGACTCTCTGGCCCGACCGTGCACAGTGCCAAGGGGGAGAGGGCCGCTCTGGAGCCCGAGGTGGCCTCTCAGGGGGCCGACCCCACGGGTGGCTGGCAGTGGTGCGCAGAACTCGTGGGCCTGTGTTCAGTTCCCTTGGTGGGCTGTTAGTCGTGGGGATGGCTTACTCGGTTTTGGCGCTAAGACGACCACGTCAGCCCTCATTCTTACTGGGCTGGGCCCGGCGCAGATGTGTTGACTGGCGGGCAGTCTAGTGGGGAAACACAAGGATCTGAGTCTTTCACCTCCCTGGGTGGAATGGAGCCTTGGAGTGATGGACAGGACCCAGAAGCACCCACGGGTAGAAGTCCCAGTTCAGTCTTGTTGAGGAGGGCCAGGACGTGTCAGGGAAGGCTTCAGGGAGGAGGTGATGTCTCTAAGGTTACCCGTAGGGTGAGGCTCCAGGCTTAGGAGGAGGGGCCATCCCAGCCGAGGGGAGGTGCCGGGTGGGCTGGGCTGGCTGACTGCACACCTCATCTACGTGGTTTGCAAGTTCCCCCAAGGCAGGGACCATGTCCCATTACCTTTGTTTCCCTTTGGGGTCCTGTGTCATTACGTGAATGTTGCTGAGCTAAACTGAGGTGTCTTCAGGGCCTGGTGACCGCGGGCTCTCCCCTCCTCCATGTTCTGCCCCACTCTTGTCCCTGCACCGGCCCCACGGCGCAGGGCCAGGCCAGGCCTCTGTTGAGGTGAGGGACCTGTGAGTGCCATTTCATGTGACTGTGCTCCTCGGAGCGGAGTTGTGTTTCTGGGGCCTGGACGCTGTGTTTCACGGGGCCCAGTGTGATCAGAGTGCTGCCTGCCCTTCCCACTGCCGGCATTGTGTCGGTGCCTGTCCCTTTATGGTGCGCCACCGTGGGAGCTCACGTCACCCCACGCAGCGTCCACAGGGCCTGCTGGCTGCCCTCGCCTTTGGCCTTCAGCCCTGGGTAGATGGCAGCCTGAAAGTTCTGGGATGCTGCAGCAGGGGTCTCCGGCTGGCCTTCCCCGCGCCTCCTGCTTACCTTTCGACTGTCCTGACTTTCTTAATCAGTGTCTGAGGTATCTGTACCTTTGTATCTGAAGTCAGATGCCCTTTGCTTGGTCTAGGGTGCCGCTGGCGTAATGGGGAGCCTGCGCCTTTGGCTGCGAAGGGCTCAGTGGGCGTGGCTGGGGAGGACTGTCCATCGTTGATGGGGACTGAGCTGCAAGTGGGTCCTGGGTGGACACTGGCTGCCCCGGAGGGGGACACTGATGTGTTTTCCACTTACAGTAGCAGGGAGACCTGCTGTTGACCTTCCTGCTTCCTCGGGGGGCAGGGGGCATCACTGTGCCTTGCAAACCCTGCACGTCCCATCTTAGAGGGGGACCGGATGTGTGCTCTGCTCAGGACGACGTGGTCCTTACATGTCGGAGTAGATCACAGGGATGCTCTCTAAGATGGCGGAGAAGTAAAACTCAGCACGTTTGGTTCCGCGTTAGAACGAGGAATCCCTCCTCCCGCCCATCGTCTTTCCTGAGGAATCATGACGCACAGCGGAGTGGCAGATTCTGAGGGCGGGGAGGAGGGGGTCTGAGCATCGCTGCCCCGGGCCTCCCGGAGGGCAGGCCGGTGGGGACACCTCCTGCAAGCGAGGGGTCAGCCCTGCGGAGGGGCTGGGACTTGCTCTCACCTCGACGCGCCCACCTCTACAGGCTTTTCTGGAAGCTTAACTGGGCCAGACACTGCTCCTCTGTAGCCTGAGGGTTTCTGTGTGAAGCCTTTCCGGGCCTCGATTTTAGGGTAATGAGTCAGCTCTGCGGGAAGGAGGGGGTCGGTGGGAGTCTGACAGCGGCGGCCAGGAGCCGGCATGTTTTCTTCACTTTGTTTGGTTCCCGCCCCATCTCCTGGAGTTGGTTTTTTCCTCTACTTTAAATTTCAGTTCTGGGAGATGTGACCATTCAAGGGTATTTAGACCTGGGGGTGTACAGCCTGGTGCTGCCTGTTCCTGTGGGCCCCTCGTTGGTCCCTGGTGGCTCTTTCTGAGTGGGTGTTGGGCCTTGGGCTCTTTTCTGTGGCTCTTCCTGGTCCGGGTTCCTGGATTTAACGCACGGTTTCACTTCGGCCCTGTGTGTCCCTGTCGGTGGGCCTTTGTGCGTGGTGGTAGGTGGTGCCCTGGGGCGGGGGGTGCTGGGCAGGCCTGCAGCCTGCTGCCCCTCCCCTGCTTGCATGCGCTCTAGCTTCCTGTGCTTTCTCTTGGTGATGGTCCCTGCCCGCCTCCCTCATGGGGCTTGGGGAGATCCAAGGGGTGCAGTGCCTTTGTGGGCTTCATGCTCCTCCACGTGTGGCTCGGTGGCTTCCTTCTGTGCTCAGGCCCAGGTGAGCCCCACCGGCACCAGCAGATCTTTGGGTTGTGTCACCTGGGCAGGCCTGCTAGCAGTGGGGGAGCCGGGGGGGTCTGGAGTTTTCTGATTGTCGTTTTGCTTTTGTGTGAGGCACGTCTGTTTTCCCAGGGAGTAACGCTCTACCAATAAGGCCAGTGGGCTTCTTGGGTGTTCACTAGTTTCACTTTATTGCTCCGGTCACGCGGGTCTGCACTGGCCGGTTAGGGGAGGAGGGGATGGCTGTGGCACGGTGGCGTTCCCGAAGGGCAGGTGGCGCGGGTGGGAGCCTTCTTACTGGGGAACAGGGCCGTAGGGGGGGGTCCAGGAGGCCATCCTCACCCCCTGCGCGCTCTCTCCCCAGACAGCGCCGGTGACACTGCTCCTCTGCAGCGGTCCCAGTCTCTCCCGCACTCGGTGGCGGCCGCCGTGGGTGGCACGTCTGACCCCAGCGCCCTCAGCAGCTCAGCGTTAAGTGAACGAGAGGCCTCCCGGCTCGACAAGTTCAAGCAGCTCCTTGCCGGCCCGATCACAGACCTCGGTGAGTCCCCCGCTGGCGGAGGGCACGTGCACCTGCGCCCCCACGTGTGGTTTACTTTGTCAGAGGGCGATGTGTTTGTGCCGTCCTGCGTGAGTCACAGAGATGAGCCATTTGTCCTTGAGGTTTACTTCAGCTGTGTGTTGGTCATGGGCTTCCGGGGCCATTGATCCGGTATTTTCTGTTCTGTTCTATTTTTTAATGCTCCGATTGAACTCCTTTGGCTTCTTGGGGCTGAACTGGTTTGCTCCACAGGACTGGCCAGCTTAGTGTCCCTGCTTTTCAGAGTCTTCACGGGGACACAGAGCTGGTGACCGGGGTCCTGAGTGCTGCTGACTTTACACCTTCCTTGGTGTAAAGTGTGGGATAGGCCGTGAACACCCCGGGAGCCCAGGCGGGGGTGGGGTGGGCGGGCCAGCAGGGGGCCGTACAGTCAGCAGTGTGGTTCTCGGGGGTCACCATGGCCGCGGGGCCGCTCTGCCACCAAGCTCTGAGGCGGGTGCTCGCCTCCAAGTCCATTTGCTGGGCTTCCCCTCGAAGCTGCGTCCTTTCCTCGGTACGTCTCATCTTTGCGGAGTGCCACGCTGCATCGGGCATCTTGCTGGCTGCGGGGGCTCTCCGGAAGGTGGGATGTGGCCGCGGTCACGAGATCACGCATGGTGGAGGGTGGGTGCCAGGGTGGCACGGAGGGCTGGCGCGCCTCGGCAGCAGTGCCCCCTCCGCCAGCAGGTGGCGCGTGAGGCACGCGGCTGGGCTGCCCAGCAGGGAGGCGGGCGGAGGCGGAGCGAGCATGGAGCTGAAGGATAGGCCGCGTCCCTGAGGATGCTGCTCCCCTTGTGGGTGCAGAAGGGTTCCTTCCCGCGAGTTTCTGCGTTTTCATTTTCCTGATTGATTTGCTCACGCACACGTAAGACAGTCACGCGGCAGCAGAGGATGTGCGGTAAAAATGTGTCGCTCTCCTCTTCCCCAGGCCTGCTTTCCCTCCTTCGCGTGATTCCAGGTGTCTTCTTCCAGGGACAGGAAGGGAGGCCTCTCGTTCTCTTAACGCTGAGCTGCTGAGGGTGCTGGGGTCAGATCACGCACATGACGACGATGCACGTGTCGTCTTAAACTTTTTATTTTGGTGTAATTTCAAATGTAGAAGAAAGTTGCAAGAACGATACAGGCGAGTCCTGTCTTCATCCTGTGCGTGTGCCTGTGTGTCTGCGTGCTTTCCCCGAACCGTTTGAGTCCGTTGGAGACCCTGGACCCCTGGACCCCTGAGAGCATCACTGTCTGTTTCCCAAGCACAGAAACACCGTCAGAACATTGCACAGCGAGATGGTGCACTCAGCTCATCCGCGGTGCACATTCTCTTCCTGCCAGTCGCCCCAGTGATGTGCGCAGTGTGTGTCGCCCCGCCCGTCCTCCCCGTCAGCCAAGGGGGCCCCAGCGTGCACCGTGTTCCCGGGCGCCAGGGCGTTTGAGGAGGGCAGGCCAGCTGTTGAGCGGCGCCCCTCAACGGGGGTGTCTCGTATCCTCCTGATGAGATTCAGGCCGGTCGTTTGGCAGGGATGTCGCCTATGAGGTTTGTGTTGTCTGTCACCGTGGCGGGAGGCCACGGGGCGGGTTGGCCCTCGGGTTCAGGAGGGAATGCGATGACTGGCGAGATGGCGGCTGTCAGGTCCTGCACGGGGACGGGGGGCGGACGCGACTGTTCTGTGGTAGCTCAGAAGTCGCGTGTGGAGAGGCGCTTTGGGGTCCGTGCATCTGTGCATGTTTCCCCCCACGCGTGGTGGTGCTGCTCTGCCCCCCACGTTAAACCTCACAGCGTCTTTCCCGTGGTAGCGCTAGAGACGCGCGCGGCCCGCACGGGCTGTGCGCCCGGGACTCCTTTACCGCCCCTCCGACGGGCACTTCGGTTCTTCCCAACTTTGTGTCACGGCAGCGGGCTTGGACCTGTGATCCTCACCCCGCGCTGGTGACTAGCGATGGGCATCGAGCGTCCCGAAACGTGGGTCAGGGAGAGGAGGAGCTGGGGTGGAAATCTCACCACGACGCTGGGAAGTCAGGTGGATCGGGCGCCAAGGAGTCTAGTCGTGGGGTTTGAGCCCGTCCCTTGGCCACTTGCTTTTCCAGCCCGCCAACACACCTGTGCCCCGAGGCAGTGTGGGGAGGTGCCAGAGTGTGGGGAGGGCAGAGGTTCTGGGACAACTGCTGGCTGGGAGTGCAGGGCGGTGTTCTTCAGCCCCGTGACTGGAGCAAGCCTGGAGCGCTTCTGGGGTCCTCGGTCGCCTGCCCAGTGGTGCTGGCTGTGCTGAGGGGGCACACCCGGGGAGGGGATGCATACGGAGTGTTTAGGAGCGGGCCCAGCACACAGTGAACGCTGAACAGTGCTACTCATCTGCCTGATTCATTTGCGTTGGCCTCTTTACCCCTTACCTTGATTTTCAGAGCACCGATGAACGTGGTCGCTGTGGTCACTGCCGAGTCAAGGAGGCTTGCACGTGTCCTCTTGGTTGAGTTAAGCGGTTTCTGACAGTAGGGGGCACGGAGGTAGTTGGTGAAGACAAGATACACTGATAGGAATTGCAGTTCTGGGTCAGGAGCTGAGCCCCCGTTAGTCTTCTGGTGGCCTTTGTCAGTGGACTAACTTGTGGACATTAAAATCCTACTTCAGAACAAAGCTTTCAGGACTCATGGGGAAAGTGGCTATGCACGGGCAGGAGGAAAGGTTAACATGTAAAAATAAGATTCTTTTGTTGGGTTGGTGCCGTTATGAGTGTTTTCTGTCTTTTGCATTCTGTTTAAGTATCAAATCTCACACCAAAAAGCTTTCAAAGTTAAACAATTACTGGATTTGTATTTAGTGGCAGGAGAAAACACAGCCAGTAAATTGCCTGTTTTTATAAGGCATTTAAGATAGCCGTTCAACCAGCTGCGCCGCCCAGGTACCCCTTCTTGGTTTTTATATATTAGAAAGATTAGCCCTTTATTTTTGATATAAGTTGTATTTTTTTTCCCCTTTGATCGTGAGACTGCCAGTTCCTTCCTGAAACCTCTTCTGCCCTTGGCCTTCAGTTTACTCTCTGGCTGCTCTCCTCAGAGGCCTTTGTCCCCTGCCTGTCAGTCATGTTTGTGTCTTGCAGTAGGTGCCCTCCTGTCTTCTTATACCCTCTCTCTGGATGGCCTTGGTCATATCTGAGGCCTTAGTGGGCATCTCTGTGCTGTCTCTGTGCACCTCCAGCTGGGACTCTCCTTGGAGATCCCAGCCGCCTGCCCCATCATTAATAGATCCTGCGCTCAGATATCATCTCAGGCTGTGTGGTTCCCAGACTGGACTCAGTAACACACTTTCTCTTGTGACCCTTCTCCTGGGAGTGGCAGAAATCTCTCTCAACCACATCTCTGAGCTTCCCTACCTCATACCTAGTGGTTGCTTCTCAGATTCTCGGTGGGGAAATCCATCCTTTTTGTACAAACTGGTGCTCTGAGAAGTTCGTGTTGTTCTGGTCTAGGAAGATCTTGCATGGGGGGTTGAGCGCTCCACTGGACAGCACTACCCTTCAGTCTCTTTGACTTGCTTGGGGTCCACATGTCTTGACTAAATGTTATCCACCTCTGCTCCGAAAAGGGCCATGTTGGTTCACACAGATGGCAACATCCTCCTGGTACATTTGTCCTCCTTATGCCATGGTGTCATGGTGCACTTCAGCCCTCCAGGTTGGGCCGCAGCAAGCAAAGGCCCCTTTTGCACTTGGGAGATTGTGGTGTCCCCCCAGAAGGCTCCAGTCCTGGAAATGCAGGACAATATGAGCCAGCTGGGCTGTGTTCTTTCTACATAAGTATGGATGTGCTAAGGCTGGGCTTCAGCAGTCAGTGACTGCATCATGGCACAGTGGGGTTTGGAAGTCCCAAAGAGCTCTCACCTTGAAGGAGTTAAACACCTCTCTTGGTGTTTCAGAAAAAACACTGTCCAATTGTCTGTTTCTATAGCAGAATTCCCAGTGCTGTGAGAGTCCTTAAAGGGCATCTAAAACCTAACATGTCCTAGATGGCACTCAAAGTCTTCACACTGGGAGATACTCTGTCAGTGTGCCTTGTCTCTGCCAGCAGGATCAGCACCTCCTGAGCTAATTAAGAGTGAAATGCAGATCTTATTCCCCATTTCCGCTTGCCTCACTCTCCACACCCATGTCATCTGTGATCCACCCAAGAGCGCTTTCAGATGCATTGCCAAGAATGGTCCAGCTCCCACCTGATCTTGCCCCAGCACCAGTGACAAGCAGCTGCTCCCTCTGCAGCCAGAATGCACCTGTTGATCCTGCCTTCTGACCTTGTTGTTTGGTCCTTGGCATCAAAACTCATGTCCTCAGGTAGGAGCTCCCCTTGGGGTGAGCACAGTATTACAGAGAGTTGTCGAATCTCTACGTGGGACACCTGAAACCAGTGTGACCTTGTGTGTCAAGTATGCGGCAATAAAACAAACAGCCCCCCTCCCCCAAACTCACGTCCTCAAGCAGAAGCAACCTCAGGGGTCTGCAGGGCCAGACTTGTGGTGTGGAATGAGGGAGGCTGTGGGTGGCACAGCTAGACTGGAGAGCAGATGTGGCCCCATGCGACAGTGGACTGCGGCTGCATGGCACCCGGACCCAGTGTTGTTGGATCTTCCGATTCTGTCAGGAAAAGCTTGAACTGTGGATGTAAAAACTGTAAAATCTCTTTCCCTTTCACAATTCTTTGAACATGCCATCCTCCCGCCTGGTTTTTATTTTATTTTTCCCTCCATTTCCTACCCTTTCTAATGTCCCCCCAGGCCTCTTGGACGCCTGAGTTAATGCCTTTTTGGTTCTGCATGTACCCTTGTATGTCATGCAGTGAGGTTTGTGTATACGTGCTTTTCATTTATGTACATATTATCCAGCTATAGATCTGGTGCTTGCACCCCTTGCTTAGGAAAGCTTTAGTATTGATCCCTGTTCATTATATCATCACCCCCATGATGGGCCAGAAGGTGCTTCTAACTCCCACACACAAAGCTGCAATGAGCTCCCTCCCAGCTACCCTCCTACAGCCCTCAAACTGACCTGGGGCAGGAGTGTCATGCCATGGGATTTGTGTGCTTACTCATACCAAGTGCGGACAGATTGCTGTCCAGAAGAATGTGTCATCGATCTCCACACCCCAGTAGTGCCTTCCACCTGGCCGCACTCATGCCAACCTTTGTATATATACAAAGGGTACAGTGATATGAATTTCCACATTGCATTGTGTACTATTGCCATCTTATCAATAGTATGTCTTTTCATCACCATGGGGTCCTCAGATCTATTTAGGTTTCCCTTTCTTTCAGCAATGTTTTGTAATTTTCAGTGTACAAGCCTTGCACCTTGATTACATCTATTCCTGAGTATTTTGTCAATGTTAATGTTCCCTAAATTGGAATTGTTTTCTTAAATTATTTTTTGGATGATTCATGGCTAATGTATACAAATAAGAGAGATTTTTGTGTGTTGATATTAACTGGCTGTAATCATTTTTTGTTGATTGTTTAGGAAGCTCTCTATATAAGATGATGTCATCTCTGGTCTCTGAATAGACGTAGTTCTACTGTTTTCTTTCACATGTGGATTTCTTGCCTTATCATTCTGGGTAGAACTTCCAGTACGATACTGAGCAATGAGTGAAAGCCAGCATGATGGACTTGTTTGTGATTTCAGAGTAGAGCTGTCAGTCCTCTAAATTGAGCATGATGTTTGATTAGAGTTAGGGTTGGGTTAGGGGTTAGGGTTAGGGTAGGTGACCCTGTGACCCATGCAGCCCCACAGTCAGCATGTTGGAGCCAGGAACACTCCCCCTGTGCTGAGCTCCCGGGCAAACCCTGCGGGTCCCCTCCCCTGGCTGACCCCCTGAAGGTTCTGTCCCCACCTGCCATGAGTTGGAAGTCCCCACAACCTCTTCAGGTTTGGATAATCTGCTCCAGTGCCTCATGGAACTCAGAGAAACATGTGTGATTCTTGGGCACAGCCATGAATCTCAGCTTCTTCATGATGGGGGCAGCCCAGCAGCTGAGTGACCATGCAGGGCTGCCTCTGCTTTTATTTCATTTTTTTATCAGAAAAGCAAGGGCAGTTGCTCAAAGCGTGGGAAAGGAGGACAAAGGGATGGCAAGTATCCTGAAACGGTAAAGCAGTCCTGCACCCTCCCCTAGGGGCAGGCACTCAGGGAGGCAGTCATGGGATAAGGGAAAAGTGGGATGTTTGTGCTAGCAAGCACCAGGTGCAGAAAGGGGACCTGAGGGTTACATTCTTTCCTAGCTCCTAACTACTGTGCCCTGCCCCTGGAGATCATGGGATCCTGCTCCTACTGGGCCCTTGCGTTCAATAGTCTGAGAACAGGAACGCTGTTGACCTTTCAGCTGCTTCCACAATCACTCCTGAGGGCTTACAATATATTTTCTAAGAATAATTCCACACTTCCTCCGTGAGGTGGACTACCTGGTATTCACAGAGGTGGACATGAAGTTCTGCGACCACGTGAGTATGGAGATCCTGTCCCCCGTCTTTGGCATCCTGCACCCCGGTTTCTACCAGGCAGCCCGCAAAGACTTCAGCTACGAGCATTGGTCACAGTCCCAGGCACACATCCCCAGGGACAAGGGCGACTTTTACTACATGAGGACCTTTTTTGCGGGGTCGGTGGTAGAGGTTCACCGACTGACCTTGGCCTGTCACCAGGCAATGGGGGTCAACCTGGTCACTGGGATTGAGGCTGTGTGGCACAATGAGAGCCACCTGAACAGGTACTTGCTGGACCATAAGCCCATTAAGGTGCTGTCCCCAGAGGACCCGTGGGACCCTCAGCTGCTGGGCTGTCCCCGAGAGGACCTGTGGGACCCACAGCTGCTGGGCTGCCCCTGGAGGACCTGTGGGATCCACAGCTGCTGGGCTGCGCCCCATCATGAAGAAGCTGAGATTCATGGCTGTGCCCAAGAATCACCAGGACATCAGCAGTGGTTATTACTTGAGGAGTCATTTTGGTGCCCACCGGGTCTTTCACTTGAGTTAACAGATGAGCCCGAAGGAAGGACGTCATCAGTTAGGAAGTACAGACGAAGGTCAGAGTGGAGGTGGGCAAAGGCCTCTTTAACTCAGAGAGCGGGGGAGCCCCGAGCTTCTTCTACACACCTTGCCCTGCTCATCGATTCCAGCTGCCTGGCTCTGAGTTCTGTCCTTTTAATGAACTGGTCATCTAGTAAGTAACATGTTTCTCTGAGTTCCATGAGCCACGGGAGCAGATTATTCAAACCTGAAGAGGAGGTTGTGGGGACTTCCAGTCTGTAGCCCATAGCTCGGAAACAGGGGTGACCTCTCTGCCCAGGCACTGGCTGACCACTGAGTTAACAGCACAGGGATTCAGTTGCCACACACAGCAAAGAATACAGACTTGACAAAGTGAGTTCAGAAAAGTCACTAAGCCAACAGTAGCAACTACAACGAGCAGCAATCATGAGGCCTGGAGTGGGGAAGATCTGATGTTCAGGATGCTTCCATTATAATATTCATAATCACACCCTGGACTTGTCACTGGGGCCAAGTCCCCCGGCTGGGGGTCAGGTAGCTCCTACATGTTCCACGTGCCTCTCTCTGGCTCCCCCAGCCGTGCACAGTCCTGTGCTCCTTCCCAGCAGAGGTCGGTTTTAACCAAAGCCAGGAAGATGGGATGGATTTTCCTGACTCCCCACCCCCTGCCCCACAGAGCTGCAGGAGAGGACAAAGTTGTCCTCAACCCTGTTAAGGTCCCCGGCTGAGTCTGGAAATTGACAAAGACAGATGAACAGGAGAAAAGCAAGCAAAATGTATTGATTGCTTTGGTGGGAGCCTCACAAGACCATGAAGACCAGCAGAGGTGACTGGAGCAGACAGCTCTTCTACCTTTTAGACAAAGAAGCAGTAAGTGTGTGAAGAATTGACAGACGCAGGGGTTTGGACTAGGGCTCGTAAACGGTAAAGAAGTAACTAGGAAGATAAGGGTTAGTTTAACCAGGTGTGTGTGTATAGACCCCGTGGTCCTAAATTCCTTGACTCTGGTGATAAGCACGTCATCTCTGTGGTCCGGGGCGAGAAAGTTCCACATGGCAGTCTTCTGACCTGCTTAAGGGAAAAAAGGCTGATGGCTGGGGGTCAGAGAGACCTTCTTGCTTTGCTCTATGCAAAAGTTCTTTTAGCTTCTGTGTTTATTTTGCCAAGGTGCCATATTCGGGGTAGTGTGTCCTGACCCTCACTGGCCTGGTGCTGTACTCTGTCTCCTAGTATCCAGGACATTGGATGTGCTGCTGTGGAGACCTTCCAGCCCTGGGGTAGCCCCTTGTCCAGGGAGGCACCTGCCTCAAGGGGAGGGTCGCTAAGGGTGGCCGCCCCTCCTCAGGGAGATTGGGTGGGAGAATGCAGATCTTACTTCGAGAAACTCTTTATTTCCTGAAAAGGTCTACCTGATAGTGGGATCATACGGGAGTTCTTTTTTTAGTATTTTGGGGAAGCTTCATCCTTTTCCCAGCATGGGTGTGCCAACCAAAGTCAATTCCAGATGATTTTTACCTATAAACCAGAGATTTTGCAAGAACCTCTCCAGCAGAGAACATGAGGAGAACAGTTTCAAGACCTTAGACAGGCAGAGATTTCCCAGGATGCAAAATATACTAACCGTAGGAACAAACCGGTGACTTAGAAACTATGAAATGAAGAACTGGTTCTCCTTCTTCCATTTCTGGCTAGTGTGCTGGTCTGTGGCTCGATCTCACCTCAGGCAGCTGTAAGGTTGACCTCCCAGGTCAGCTACCACTGAGATGGCTACTGTTTCTAGAAATTCTTCGGGGTGTGGCCGGTTTTCCCCACCTGTGCACTGATCAAGTCGGCGACCTTGGACAGTGGAGCCACGGGTCCTCCAGGCATGGTTCCCCCCACCCCCCAATGCCCCAGTAAAGCCATTCCACTGAGGGTTTAGGGGGACCAGAGCTGCCCCTAGGCAAAAACACCAGAGATTCTCACTGTCCCTACCTGGCCTTCAGATGCTCCTCAGTTACTCCTGTGCCTCTGGTGTCTTCCTGGAACCCTGACCTGGCTGGTTTTGGACAGTTTGTCCAGTGGTACCCTCACTTTCTGGGAGGGGGATTTGCTGGAATCCGCAGTGTGTCCTGCAGCCCCACCGGGATCACTTTTTGAAGGCACGTCGCCTGGGCCATCTGAGGACTCAAGACTGTGGGTCTGTGGCTTGGAGGGATTCTGAGCAGCTGGTGGGATTCTGAGCGCTGGTGGGATGGGAGGGCTGCAAGGCCCAGAGGCAGGTTTCCAGAAAGCTGTCTGGGGTCCCCGGCATCCTGCCGTTTTTGAATCAAAGCCCTGAGATCTTTAAAATGCCAGCAACGTTACAGCATGGGCCAGAAAAACAAATGTCCCTGTGCACCCAACACCACCTAAACTATTGGCCATTTCTTGTCACTTGAGTTGAGTAGAAAGGATTGGGAGTCAGGGCTTGAGGGGGGTCCTGGGTCAGACTTTGTGTTTGGGGGACAAAGGTCATCTGGACAAGCTTGTGCTGAGGCTGAGGAGGGGTTCTGTGTGGAGACCCCAGCTGCAGGCACTGCTGTCCAATGATGCCCCCTCAGCCCGACCCAGTGCACCTGCTGCTGGCGGAGAGCCTGCCCCCTCCTCTCTGCCTGAGGGCTCTCTCCTGCACGAGGTGTGCCTCCTCCCCTGCCAGTCACTGCCAGCCTGCAGCCTGGCAGGGTGGGAGGGTGGCTACCCCGAGTTCCTGCAGCTGCTGGGGGAGCGCCTGCCCCCTCCTCTCTGCCTGAGGGCTCTCTCACACACCAGGTGCCTCCTCTCCTGCCAGCCACTGCCAGGCTGCAGCCTGGGAAAGTGGCTAACCCGAGTTCCTCCAGCTGCTGGGGGAGCGCCTGCCCCCTCCTCTCTGCCTGAGGGCTGTATCCTGCACCAGGTGCCTCCTCCCCTGCCAGTCACTGCCAGCCTGCAGCATGGGAGGGTGGATACCCTGAAAACCTCCAGCCCTGTGGACAGAGTCAGTGCAATGTGGTCTCCCAGCAGGTCTGAGCACCAGGCCCGCACATTGCTCACTCTCGTCCTATGGGCTCAATGTGCCACATCCTCCCTCAGGCCCCCTGGGTCTGAGTCCTCCTCTGCTCGTGGACCATCCTTGGCCCAGGCTCCACACGCTGGAACTGGGAGCGGGTCGTCTGGACGTTCTGGACTCTCGCTTCTGTTCCCGTGACACGGGCACAGGACGGCCTCACAGACTGCTCAGAGGAGACTCAGCACAGGACGATGCAGGTCGCTGTAAGGGGAGATGCCAAGTGACCCCAGAGGGAGCGCACAGGCCTTGCAGAAGGCGCTGGGCTCATGGGGCTCAGTGTGGGATGCGGGCGCCCAGCCAAGGGGCATGGGGAATCCTGGTAGGGGCGGCCCTGGCAAGTGGGGGAGGGGGAAGCCACAGAAGGGTCTCAGAAGAGGCAGGAGACAAGGAAGAGGACAGGACAGAGCTTCCCAAGGAGGTCGATGGAAGGATCAAAGGATCACAGAGACCCTTGGGGAAACTCGGAGGCCCAGGAGATGTTGGCTGAAATGCTGTCATTTGGTCAGAAAAATTGTGTCACAACTCCCCAGTTGACACTGGATGATTTACTCTTTGTTCGTTCGAGGAATCAGGGCGTACCTGCCATTAGAACTCACATGGCATGAAGTCTAGGACATACTTACTTTTCATCACTTTTCAGGACGAGATTTTTCTAGAGGAGGTGCTAAACACGGGTCTCTCCATTCTTTTCCTTGTGCGACTGGCCTGTTTCCAGGAGCAGATTCCTAGTGCTCATCACCAGAGCTAGCCGTGAGGACTGCCCCCCATCACCTCCCACAGTGGACGTGACCATGTGGGTTGGGGGGTGCTCACTAATGAAGCCCCAGTGCTCAGTACCCAGCAGGGACCCCAGATCCTGTGCTGAATGAGGGAGGATGGGAGTGAGGGAAAGAGAGAGGGAGGGACGATGGGAGAGAAGGAGGGGAGAAAGGGAGAAGGGAAGGGAGGATGGGAGGGAGGCAGGATGGGGAGGGAGAGGGGAGAAAGGCAGGAGGAAAGGGAGGATGGGAGGGGTAGAGGGGGGGAGGGAGGCAGGGAGGATGGGAGGGAGGCAGAGAGGCAGGGAAGGAGGGAGTGGGGGAGGGAAGGGAGGAGTGGAGGGGAAGGAGAGAGAGGGGGGAATGAATGAGTGAATAAATGACGTAGGGAGGGAGGGAGTGAAACCACAGAAGCTGGATCTGTACCTCAGGAGCCATTATTTGGGGTGAGGTCCGAGGGCATCACAGCCTGGGTCCTGGATGGTGGCTCAGGGCACGTCCATCTGTCCTCCCAGTGCTGACCTTCCTTCTCCTTGGACCCGGTGTCATCCTGGATCCTCTCCACCTCCTCCTCAAACAATTCTCAATGTTCCCAGGAACAGGGTGGCAGGAGAGGTCTCAGGAGGGGCTTCCCGGATCCTGTGCTCCGAATGACAATGTGACAGTGGCTACAGGGCATTCTATCATGAGGACTGGGACCATGGATCCCATCCATCTCCTTGGGCATTAGCGTTGTTCCATTCCCTGCTCTCTCCATCACCGCTGTGATGAACACTCCTGAAAGCAGATCTGTGAAAAACCGAGCCAGAGTTTCCGGGGGTGAGTCCGAGGCCGAGCATGCCAGGTGATGGGTGCACCTGCAGCCTGGGATGGGTGATGCTCACTGTTCTCCCAGACAGGGGTGCCCGTCACCCTTTCCTCCAGGGGACCTGCATTGGACCTC